CTTTTCCCCTCCGGGGACGCGAGGCATTTGCGCCATGCGGTCCGTCTTACGCCTCGTGCGCAAATACACGAGGGCTGTAGAATAAATTGATCGCATTTAAGGAGGCGCTGCACTCTTTCCCTTTCCCGCTTCCCCCGTTTCTCTCTCTCTCTCTCTCTCTCTCTCTCTCTCTCTTTCCAACCACCGTCCTATCGAGATCGCGCGATAAAACAACGCGGGAATTGAACGCTCGTTTTATAATCTGAGATTAAATGCTTCCATCCTCCCCTTCTCGTGCTCGATAAGAGAACAATCTATATGACTCCTCGTTACTTCACGGTCTCATCGCGAACTTAATCTTCTAATGGAATAGAATAATACTCGGACGCGCGACGTCAAAAATACATTGAGTGGACAAGATAGCCCCGCGGCTATCTTGTCCACTCGTCACTTGCTCGAGATTATACGCGGAAAAAATACGCGCAAATAAAGGCTAACCCTTGATTATTTCATCGTGCGCTTCATAAAGAATACGCGGGGAAAGCACGAATATAAGCGTACGCAGTCCCATATTGACCCCCCCTCCCCTGTCGTTTGCAAGTTTAATCACGGCATTTAGTATTACTCGGTGAATTACTTTTGCGTTTGCGTGCAACGTTATAAATATTAAAGTCGCGCAGCTGAGTTTTTGTTTTTTCTCCGACATGTTCTCGCCGCGACTGCGCTAATTAGTGCTTCGTGTTTCGTTGTAGTTCGTACTTTATATGGTATCTCGTTTTTAATTGAGCGAGTAAAGCACACACGGTCGCGCAAAGGTCGTTGTTATATAGATCGAACATATATATATACATATATATACACAGGCGCGGCCGGAAACGTAATTAAAGAGATTTTATTATAGAACTAAACACATCGGAATATCGTTAAAAATATGATAAACTCCGAATAAAAGTTGAAAACCTAATATTTCCGCACGCGCGCACGCATGTGCTTTCCCGTTCCACCCTGTAAAGCATCATCGTATCGCACGTCCGCGACTCCTCGTTTAACTCGTTTTTGGATTCAAATTCGACAGCGACAGTGATTCGTTCGCCGATAGAGCCGGGGAAGGCCGGCCAATAACGTCAGCGGGAAATTAATGTATTAATTCGCCGGGGGGAATTCACGTCTCGCACGTCAGCGGAGAGGCGAAAAATTAGAGATAAATAAAACCTCGCCGCTCATCACGTCCGGCACGTTGCAAAAAGTAATATCACGTCGGGATGTCGTTGGTGGAGGAAGGGAGGGGGGGCACAGGGGAAAAAGAACGACAGTAGGACGAATTAACACCCGCTGTCGGGAGACGCGCGTAAAAAGTGACGATGACAATTTCGCAAACGCGCCAACTCGTTCGTGTCATCTTTTCGCGAGAGACCCATCCCCGACGAGGAGCCAGGCCGTGTTGGGGGGACAAGAGAGCTTCTCGCCGTTATCTAACCCACTTTGATCGGTTGCACGATCGCGCGAAAACGCGCTCCAATTTCGGTAACTACGATTTACGGCTGATGTGCCCACCGTGACTATCGTCGAAATTTCGAGCAGGCATCCCCGCGAACTTCCTAATCGCGCGTCGCAAAAGCTCGATCGGACCCGCAAGGAAGATCGATGAACTCGTACTTTCCTTGCCGGCGTATTCCAGAGCGAGGCAGCCGGCACTGAACTTTTTTCATAAATTCAAGTACGACGAGACAAACTCGGCCGGCGAGTGACACTCGCGTCGATTATACGCACGAGGCGAGCCCCGATAAAATTCGTGTACAAATACATCATCGTCGACGTCGACGACGGCGACGATTCAACGGCGAACGTCCCGAGTTTCCGATCGTTCCGGCGACCGGAACGACACGACCACGCCGGGGACGCAATAAAGTCCGCAAGGTAGCGACGAAAGCCCCAACACGCAGGTGTTAAGGACCGTTCTCGCGACAAGTCTCGCGCGATAAAACCGCCACGACCACGTTATCGCGCCTTATCGATTCGCCCAACACATTTCGCGGGAACAGGTAGCCGTTTCCAGTCGAAAGCTCCGAGTGCGCGATAGCGAGCCGATTTTCGCCCGGGCTTCTCTCGGAGCTTCGAAAAGACTCGACACATCGACCACCAAGCCAGCCTGCAAAACCTATGAAGAAAGATAGAGCGCGGTAGAGTAAAGTAGAGAGAGAGAGAGAGAGAGAGAGAGAGAGAGAGAGAGAGAGAGAGAGAGAAAGAGATGAGAGACAGATTCGGCGGGCGGATCAAAAGTTCGAAGGTGCAGCAAGGCGATATTATATAAACGGATGAGTTGGCTCGCTGACTCTCGAGATCTGCGCATGGTGCGCACGCGTTCTCGCCGGCGGAATATGTAGCGGTGATATTCGATATTCTTTAGATCTACCAACGATCTCCCCATTCAACCTATTCTTACAATGTGTATGCTGGATTTAGCTCGTGGAGATAGATATTCCTAACATTCGTTGAAACGGCCGGCTTTACGGCAGCTTTCGCGCTGAAAGCTCGCTCGCTCGCGTGCGCGCGCGCGCGCGCGCACCCTCTCCATGCTTTCCACCCTCGCTTCCGTTCCCAAAGCTCGCCCGTCTCTCCGCCCGCGCTCCTTCGCGGCGTCCTCGCGGGTACGCGCCCCGTCGTCCACCTCCCGTCTCCGCCACGCTTATCGTCCCATCCTCGTCTCTTTACTCTTTGCTAACAAAACCAAACTGCCCTCCTCGGCCGACTATCGGCCGCCCACTTCTTCTACTTCGCGTCGTGGTCTTAGTTCTTTTTCCTTCCTTTTCTTTTATCAGCCGTCCTCTCTTGTTTCTTCGTCTTTTTCCTCACTTTTCGCCGATCAGCCATCTGTTCGCGTTCTCCTCCATCTTCTCAATTCTTCGCTTCCTCTCTCCCTCCCCCCCCCCTCTCTCTCTCTCTCTCTTCCTTCCCTTTCTCCTCTCTCATTCTCGTCGTTCAACGATATCGCGCCGAGTTATTCACGCGCGTTAATCAACAAATGGGCAGGTCGGCGCGCGGATAAAGGCTCGCGGATCACCGCGAGAGAATGCGAACGACGGGGTGGAGGGAAGGAGAGGTCGTCACGTCGCTCGCTAAGGACGAAATATCGATCGACGGGTCATAAACGTCGACGTCATCGTGCACGTCTTTGTGCGCGGCAATTTATTTGTATTTAGTATGTTGCCATGACGATTGTGAGATTTGCGTTCGCAATAGCCGCCGGACCGGTGTGGCGAGATCTCCGCGCGACGGTGCGCACGCGCTTTGTGTTAACGTGTGAAAATTCAGCAACCCCTTCGCGAAACTCTTCGGTCAACGTTGATTTAAGACATACGCGAGCGCGATCCCGCTCGCTCGCTCACCGCTCTCGCGTCGCGCGGTCGCAGTCTTTTAATTATTGAATTACCGAGAGCCATTGAAATCGCATAACGGTAAATCTCACGCTAGCACCCACGATCGTGTTATTTACGGGCGGGCTCTCGAACGCACGGTGTATATAATTTCTGCGGTTTACGGTGTACGCCGGTCGCGCTGAATATACGCGAGAATAAACAGGAATCCTCAGCGTGAGCGAGCGAGTGAGTTTGCCTCGCGACTTCCCTCCCCCCCCCTCCCGCCGCTAAATCACATCACGTCTCTCCCATCGTTTTGCCCCAGCGGACAACGAGATAAAGACACTCGCGGTTTACCGTGTCGTGCGCGAGACGAATCGGCAGCGTTAATCTCGCCGACCCGATGAATGATAAGACCTGAAAGCATGCTCTGGCGTATAGAGAGACGGCGGTGTCATTATCCGCTTCCGATATAACAATTGCAGTCGGAGAGAGGACGGACTGTCGATGCGCCGCACCGCGCCGCGCGTCTCATCGGCCAGTCGCGAACGGTCGTTTCCTTCGCTCGGCTCGATTAATCACTCGATATGCGCGCGGCAACGCGAGCGCGGTGAAATTTCGATTTCGATAAACTTGCAGTTAACGCGCGTAATATTGACACTTGATACGCTCGCTCTCGTTCAACCGGTGAGAAATAACGCATCTGTGAAAGATCGCCCAGTGCTACACGCGCAGCGCGTAATCGATATATATATATATATATATAATATCGGATGATATATGATTCTTTTCTCGTCGGTATTCACAATTTTCTATATCTGTTCAAAGCTCACTTTCTCTCTTTCTTTTCCTCCATCGGAAAATCTCTTGTATTACCGACTCAATTTAAAGCGGCTGTATCAATCTCTGTTTGCAAATTTGTACGTCGTCCAACGTCAAATTGTGCCCGTTTAACGTTAGAATAAATTATTAGTTTTAAGATTAAGTTTAAGCGCGTTTTCTTTTTTCTCGCCTGTTCTTTTCGCGGCTCCTCGAGAACGCGCGTCACTCGCGCCTCGCGCTCAATTCGTGAGTGATTTCGGCATTTCAGGCCGAACGTGAACTACGAACAATCCCGAGCAAGAGTAAAAAAGTCTAGTACTATTTTCTCTTCAGACAAACAGTCAGCGAGATATCGTAAGTTAAATATTCAAAAAGTTACCACGTTTTCCTTGAATGTCTCAAAAAATATTAGGCAAACAAAAAAATGTTTCGCACGAAAAGTCGTTCCAATTAATCGGTGGAGAAAGATGAGACAATAAAAAATTGGGGTTTCCATTTAGGAAAAGTGATGATCAGTGAATATCTCGAGAGTGGCGCCACCTGTAAACAAACTGACACAGTTGTTTCGTGTTCCCCTTGAAAGAGCATACAACTTTTGTCTGAAACATTTTCCCCTAAAACGTCGCGTTTACAAAAAAATCGGGATGGACCGGGGTGGTCAGATACACCCGGTATATCGCTTGCGCAGGGGTGAATATCGGTTTAAGCGTGCAGTCGGCCGCGCTGTCGTGCGAGAGACGGTCGTTGTCGTAACGACGGCCTCCCTCGCGCGGCGCGCAACTCCAGCGAAAGGATTTCGTTAGACGCGCCCCCCCCCCCCCCAGTCGAATTCTCCATATCCCCTTCTCTCGCATCAACCCCCGTGTGCCTTGTCCGCTTTTGTTACCGCCTACCGTCTGCCGACGCTTCTCTCTTCCGCTTCTTCGGCGGCGCGTACGTGCAGCACACGACACACATCGACACACGCGCGCGCACTCATACATTCACGTGCATGCTTATATCGCGTGCGCGCGCGTGCGACGGAGGGTGGCCGTGTGCGACTGCTTCGAGCCGAGTCGGGTCTTCTTGTGCAATGCCCCTACGTGGAAGACCGGCGAGTATTGGAGAGGCATCGCAATGCCTGGAATGTTTAATACCGGCGCAACGACACGGCACGGAGAAATGGTCGGCTTCAACCGCGGAATAAATCTCGTGGAATCATACCCGCCCGCTGCCATTTCTTGTCTGCCACGTGCCTCCCAAGAAATTTTTCAGAGGCGGAAACGCTTATTGCATTTCTATACGTAACACTCCTTCACGTGGCGGCGCGTTCGCGGAAATCGCACGCGCGCGCGCGCGCGCGCGCAGTCTTCGTTGAAAGGAGAGTTCATTTGCCGGGGAAATGTTTCGCTGCTGCTCGCCCGGAGTATGTCGCAATTTGTAATTGAGGCTCCCCCCTTCCCCGCTCGCCGACCTGCCGACGGTCCGGACGTACACGTGTATGCGAGCAAACCTGCGCCGCGGCGCTCGGACGACGCGCGAAGAACAACCGCGAGCTCTCCTCGAGCTCGTGTATTATCCCACGTCGCACCATGGCAATCCTTTTTCGCCTGTCGCCAACAAGACATCCGCAGTTGTCCTTCGCACACCTTCTTCTCCTTGCCTCATCACCGACGCCGCGATTCAAGACGAAGGGCGATTTGTCTTTTTGGCGCTCCGCGACGCCGCACACGTACCGTGTCAGCCCGGCCGCTTGTTCTTGCTCGTTAATCCTGGCCTTGCCGTGAGAAAAAGGACTCGCTTTTTTCCCCCTCGACGGCAAGTAAAACATTCCGCCGCTAATTACGCTCGCTTACTCGTCCCTGATCAAATATGAGCGACTTTTCCGCTTTCTTCCTCCCACCCTCTCTCTCCCGCCCGATCTTCCTCGCTCTCTCCCGCGCTCCCGGGGATTCTATCGGTCGGCCTAGGTAAAGGTCGGCCCTGACAGTCCTGTCCTCCGAAGTGCGCGATGTTTGCCGGGAATATAGGACGTCGGATTTAATTGCCGCCGCAGCGAGGGTGGACTACTTGATGCGGCGACGGCGATAGAACGACCGTTAGAATTTCATTAGGCCGTAAGTTCGGACGCGGCGGAGTGACTCGCTTTGAAAGGGCCTCGTCGCACTGCTGCTGCTGCTGCTGCTGCTGCTGCTGCTGCTGCTGCTGTTGCTGTTGCTGCTGCTGCTGCTGTTGCTGTACAGTTGCAGCTGCCGCCGCGACTGGTAATGTGAGAGAGTCGGAAGCCGCTTGGATCGTGCTTGCGGCGCTCACGGCTCACTGACCGCCGCCGAAAAGCCGTTCGTCCACCATCCGACGAACGCGAACAGCAGTCGTATCGCGCGATACAGACGTATTCTCGGGCCCGCGCTGCTGGCACGGGATCGCAAGTAATAACGCATGCATCGCGAACACGATGAAACGGAAATAATGCGCGAAGTTTGGCCGCAAGTGCTGCGCGATGCCGCGAAGTCAGCTTACGCGCTCTAACCGGGCTTCGCCGCGCGAAATCCGCCGGCAAACAAATGCGCTCGCCGAATCCCTCTCTCGCGCGCTACGTCCTAATTACTCAAGTCCATCTGCACGCGATCGCTTTCGCTCTTGCTCCTGCTGCCCATTTTATTCACGCTCCCGGACAATAACTCGCTCGCTTTTGCGCCGGGCGCAAATATCGCAAATATCCGAGTCCCGGTTATCTCGCCCGATGGTTGAAAAAAGGAAGGGTGCACGCGCGGGATACACGGAATGCGGCGGGGTGGGCGCGGGGTAGTTTTTAAATTCGAGAGATTTCCCGTGTAAATGAACAACGATCCTCCTCCGCGCGCCGCGGCGGATACGCTCGTTCTCGATATTCCACGTAATTGCGCGCGTTGCACGATACCCTGGTTATCTGCTCGATGATACTGCTCGTGTATTTGGTGCGCGTGGACGAGCCGCCGCTTATAAACTTGGGCACCGCGATCTTATCTTTTTGTCGCTCGATATAAGGCTCGCTCGCGTATTCCGGAAACTTGCCGAAGCAACCGGCGTGACTTCCGCCCGGCGCTTTGGGGAATGGGACGTAGAACTGCATCTTCTTGGCTGGCCTCCTCGCGATCCCAACGTCCCAACGCAAGTAAATAGGTCCTGGACTCTCGTCCTTGTACGGATTGGGAGGGAAATAGTCCAGTGGCGCGTTGGATGTCAAGAATCGGCCCACGTGCTTCGTTTCTGTTTCAACCAAGGCAACGGGTTTCGAATTGAGAATTCAGTGAACGAGAAGGGACTATAGTCGACGTGAGCGATGATCGGTTGAGCGAATCTTTCGCGAGATCGAAGCTTCCGGAGTGATTCATGAAGCTTGTGGGATTCGCGGGATAAATTTGAAAAATCTACTGTGTGCGTTTCGGATTGCATTCCGAGCAATATAGCTCTCTCTCTCTCTCTCTCTCTCTCTTGTTTCCTCATTTTTCTTTCTCTCGTTGTTGTTATTGTTGAATATTTCTCCAATCGTTTCACGCTTTAAAAGTCGGTGGAGATTGCTCGCGATTCTCGTCGTCCCAATTTCTTTTTTTTTCGACGATGGAAATTATGCTAAAATTAATTAATTATGCTGTTGCCCCGCGAAACGAAAAGGGAGAGTCCTCCGAAAAAAAAGTTGAACCTCGCGTACGCATTTCGCGTTTCGTCGTCATTACTTTTCACCAATGTCGTCGCGGCGCGAGGCGCGTGTACACACACGAGATAATTAAAGAGAAAGAGGGCAAAAAGTCCGCAGCAAAATGAAATAAAACTGCCGTTGAATTAATTACTGTTTTTATCAGCGACGAGTAAAGTGTGAAGAAGCTTGTGTCGTGTCGTTATTGATAACATCGGCCGCGTTCATTATTCACCGGCGATCGTTGTTACACGCCGTGCAATTATCTGTCGTAAAAGTCGCGGGGTAATCGCCGCGTAATTACGCCTCGGATGAGCGGCAGCAATTCGAAGGATGCGCATCTTTTTTTCCTCTTTACGCACGCGACGAAAAAGCTACGCCACGGCGAGCATTATTAAGTCCCGACGCAGTATCTCGTAACGCCAGAATTATAGATTAAAGTGCTTCGTAATATACGTACGACGGGGCAAAAACAGGAAGAGCGGAAGGAGGAAAGAAAAGGGCGGAAACTCGCTCGACAACAGCGCAGTTCAAACTGCGACTGTACACGTGACCCTCCTCCCGTTCTCATCATATTCAGCTCAAGATCGAGATAAGCTCGTCGTTCTGACATAAATCTCTATCGTTACTTACTACGGGTAAACAACGGCGGCTCACTTCGCCCGTAATACACGGAGCAACTGCGAAAGTAAGTTTCTCGAAAACGTCTTAACGACATCCGGTTCGTGAGTATTCCCGAGACCGCGGAAACAATTTCTCTCTCTCTCCCCCCCCTCTCTCTCTCTCTCTCTCTCTCACCAAGTAATCGTGCACCCTTCACTTGCCTTTCTCACTTTGACACTCCGCGATATACGGTACATACGCGCGCTCGCATACAGACGTAAAAAAAAGAAACACTCCGCCTTTGTAGTCACGTATGACGTATGAAAATGCGTCTCGACGCTTTACCGTCACACACGGAGCAACGTTTTATTAACCGGCGAGACAACGTGAAGCGATCGCGATTAGGCAGGATGGTAACTGAGAGAGCGGTATAAGACAGAGAAGGGGAGAAAGAGAGAAATACGCGCGGCCCGTTGTAAGTACGCGGCGGCTGAATAATTTGAGCGGTTTGTCAGTCGAAGAGCACTCGCACGAACGAGCGGACCGGATCGGAGGCGGCGTAACGCAAAAACCCATTTACTTTTGCGAAGTATTCCTTCCGCGACTTGATCGTAAGGCTCGTGGGAATACGCCGGATAAGGACTGAAGCAAATATTCGCGTATCCCGGGCCGCCAAGCGGATTCGGCTTGATCTTCATATTAGGCAGAGCCGGCAGCTTTTTTTTCTCTTCCATCTTCAGCAACGGACTGAGGTAAGAAGGCTTATCGAAACATCCGTACCAATCTCCGGGAGTCGAGTGCTTCTTCGATGGCGACGTCGGTAGCATACCGCGGATCTTCCTCTTCTCGTCTCGTAACTGGAATCGCGTATCCGTCAAACAAATAAAACGGATACGGAGAGAGACCTCATCTCGTCTTCCCTTTGCATATACTTTGTATCTCCATTTCCTCTCTTCTCCCTCCTCTCTCTCTCTCCTCTCTCTCTCTCTCTCTCTCTCTCTCTCTCTCTCTCTCTCTCTCTCTCTCTCTCTCTCTCTCTCTCTCTCTCTCTCTCTCTCTCTCTCTCTCTCTCTCTCTCTCTCTCTCTCTCTCTCGCTTGCTCTTTTTTATCCATTTCATTGTAATGTTTTTACTAAAACGAAAACTATCGAAGCAAGATAAATACGATCGAATGGAATACTGACAATGGAGGCAAATACCTGGCGATCGAGAGCAAGAGCGGAAAACAGAAAGAATTGTTTAATCAAATATAACAAATTAAACGAGATCCTTCCTCTCGTCAGACCAGCCAGACCTCATGAGCGCGAAGCACCTTTTGCATTCCGCTCCAAATCAATATTGAAATGCGCGCGATTTGTAATTACTGATCAATTGCAGTTTACATAATCAATAATCATTCGAGATTTATAACGTATAACTAGCGGAATAATTATCAGTCAGTTGAGGTAATTAATTACGATAATACTATTAGTGACGGAACGTATCAGCGAGCAGTAAACCAATAATTAACAGCGGCACATCAGAGAAACACTCGGCAATAATGTGGAGGATGTCCGAGACGTCCGCGCTTCCTTGAAGTTCCTTCGGGGATAGCGTCGACGTCGATCCGGGACATCCTGTGCATCGCTAGTAAGTACCCGCCGCTCCGCTTCGTCGCGCCACACTTCGCTGAGTGCTTCGCCTTCGAAGATTCGCTCGAATTTCTTCTCGAAGAGCACTCCGGAAGGTCCGGCGAGGATTTGACGTCCTTTGTCGATGCCCTCGCGAAATATCACCTCGGGCCTTCGATACTCGTCAAACGGGCCCGGCGGTGCATCGTCGAAGAAACCTAAAAAGTTTCACCGCTCGTGAACAAGTCTCGAGAAGTCGTCGGGCGAACGGACGGACGGACGGATGGACAAGCCCGTCGATCGGAAATATCTTACCGACTCGCTCGAGATCGTATTTTCCATAGTGACGGCCGACATTGCCGGATAACGGCGTGTCGCCCGTTCTACGTCCGCGACTCATCCTCCCTCTCGCTCGTACGCTAATAAAATAACAATAACTACAACTTCCGCATCGTTACCTCTCGCTGAGGTAACCTGACACTATCGTGCCGCGCGAAAAGGACACGCTTTTCCTAGCCAAAACATGGCGAGGTAATCCCTCCTCCTTTCCTCTCTCTCTCTCTCTCTCTCTCTCTCTTTCTCTCGCCCGCTCGCTAATTAGCAGCGGACTCAACTTATCGACGTAAGAATATCGATTGCGCGATTTGACGGGACACTCTTCAGACGAGTTGAGCCTCGTGGCTCTTAAAGGAGCATAAAAACGCGTTTCAGCCATGTCACTGTGCGCTACGTTGAGCGGCTTATTTTCTATAAGCGGCAAGGAGGAAGCTGTGCGAAAGAAACGAGAAAGAGAGAGAAACGCTGGCTGGCCCCCTTGCGACAATGCGGGAAACCGACTGAAAAGAGCAATTAATTTATGATCACCGGAGCGAATATGCTCCCTGCAGCGCGTCTCTTCTTTTTTAATTTCGTTTTTATACATTGCCACGAGGAAGTTGCGACGGAGGTGCACGAGCGAAGCACGAAACACGTAACGAAGATGCGCAGCGTCAGATCGATATCGGGCATCTTAAATACTGAGGATAGACTTATGGGTAATTGAACCGGTTGCACCGTCAATAATGGATCGTCCTTAATGAGTTGACGTTCATACTACGGATATCTACGGTATTCTCGTTGCGGCAACAGTGGAAACATTTCGTTAGCTCTCCTGTTTGGAGAGACCGCGCAGATCGTGGCAGGAAACTGCACACTCGTGAAAAAGCGTACCAACCGGCCGATTCTGTTAATGCTAAAGGACGAAGAAGTGGCGCGTTAAACGCCCACGTTCATTCACGAATGAACGGTAATAAAGACGCGCCCGAAAAAAACATGTAAATAAAATATATAAAAAATATATAATATATAGACACGATTATCGAGCGTTGCATTTAACGAGCATCGAAATAATTTAGTCGCAGCACCGACGAGGTAATATAAAGACTGTCAATCTTAGGTAAATTATCGTATTGACCAAAGGGGCCCCAAGAAACCTGGAGGTAATTGACGAACGATGATAATACCGACTATTATACCTACGCTCAAGATAATACAACTAGCAACTATTGCCAATGCGTGGCGAGAGGAAAGACACGCGCCACTATTCGTGTTTTGCCTCGTCACACCTCCCGCAAGCTAACAATAGTTGCTGAATCGATTAGGTCACGCTGTGGCCTGAGCGGCTGCAAAGCTTTTCCATCCATCTCGGCGCGCGCTTACTCAAATTTCTGTAATTAATAAACTGTTACGAATATCGAAAAACGCTATAGAATTTTTATATTTATTTTAATCCAATCTATATATCCACAAGCTCGGTAAAAATTGTTTTACAACACCTTATATACAGGATGTCTCATAACAATTGTTTCAGAGCTCGTGAAGACAGAGCGGATTAAGTCAAACATAAAAGTCTCATACCGTTCTGCCACTTCTCGGCTGCTTAAGCTAAGATCAAGTACGAAAGGGTTTAGATACTTACTCCCTCTGGTACCCTGCCACCTTGTCGTGGGGGGGGGCTCCGGTGATCCGTCGATCCACCCTAGGTAGTACCACCGGTTGACCATTTCGAGCTCTTGGCCCTCAGGTTGGAGCAGGTTGAACAATGCGCTCTCAGGGCTCCTCCCCAACCTGGAAGGTCCTGGAGGCCGTGTGCGGCAGTGTGTTACGTCAATGTAATGCATGCCGTGGCGCTGTACGGGGACTCAGTTTGGGCCCTACAAGTTAGGGCCAACCCGCGCATAAAGCGAATTATGCGCCAAGTGCAGAGGATGGCTCAGGGAGCATCACGGTGCTATCGTATGGTGTCGCACGCGGCAGCCATTGCCCTAGCGGCAGTGCCCCCCCATGGAGCTCCTCCGCCGATATGTACGAAAGTACATATCGACGGGTACAGGAGCTAAAGGAGCAGGGAGGCACTAACACCATTTCTCCCAGAGAGAGAACGGCAGTGAAGGACCACGCCCGACGGTCCATGATGGTGGCCTGGGATCGATACCCAGGGATTCCAACTTGCCGGGCCAGCGGACCGTCGGGGCTATCCGCCTGGTCTTAGATCAATGGATGGGATAGGGCGAGATGCGGTATAACATATAGAATGGCACAGGTGCTGTCGGGGCATGGTTGCTTCGGCAAGTACCTGTGCCGTATAGGGAAGAAGGCAACAGCGCAATGCCACCACTATGGAGCGGCAGAGGATACGACGGATCATACACTCTCTCAGTGTCCAACCTGAGTCAGAACGCCATGCCCTCCGCGAAAGCATAGGAGATGACCTCTCCCTGCTGGCCGTAATAGCGGCCACTCTGCAGGGAGAGGGGAAATGGGAGGTCTTCTCCTCCTTCTGCGAGCAAATTATGTGGCAGAAGGAGGAGGAGTGGGAGCGTAGGGGTGAAGGCCCCTATAGACCAAGAGTCAGCAAGACGGCAGAAAGAGGGGGTGCGGTGGTGGACAGAGATAGGGCACTTATGCGCCCTCCGCCGCCACCGCCACCGTTACGTAACTCTCCAACTCTGCCTCCCCCTATCAACGAGGAGGCACAAAAGGGGGGGTAGATGACAATAATAAGGGGTAGACCCCGGTGAGGCGGAAGATATATCCTCCCGTCTAGCGGGTCCACCCCTGCCTCTGTCGAAGCGGATCCACCTCCACCGGGGATAGGAATGAGGGACCCGGCACCATGGGGAATTAAGGTGCCGGTGTCCCACTATGAAGGAAAGCAGGTGGTGATGTCCGCACCTCGCCTAGAGGAATGCAGAATGCTCCTCAAAGTGAGAAAGGGGGAGAGAATACTATTTCTCTCTCCCAAACAAGGTCTGTACGAGAGTAAACCCAAGCTGTGGGGAGATGGCACGTGGAAGCCATATATCAATACCACCTATGTACCCTCTCGGACTGGCTGAGAAGGACATCCAAGGGGTTTTAGTGGGTAGGTGGTGCACGCACCAGGGCACACCGAATCCCACACTATCCCCACCCTCTCTCTTCCCCGGAGAGTGGGGGTGTCTTTAGAAGATTTCCCCTCGTAAAAAAAAAAAGTAGTACCACCGGTCCAACCGGAGGAAGGGTCGTGTAGGGAGGATCACTGGCTAAGCGCATCCCGAGTCTAGTGCCTCGGGGGACGGTGACCGCAACCTCCTGAAGTCGCCTCCCTAAGTGGAATAGTTTGCTGGATGCCGTGATGGAAGAACCTCGGCTGGGTTACGATAACCTTGGTATCACTCCGTCCACGGGGCCCCAAACCTAGCGGCGTCCCCCATGGTGCCCGGGTAGTCGGAAGCCCGGAACTCCCGAAAGCGGTCCGGCTCCCAGCGAGGGGGATCATGGCGTATGGATCTCACTCCCCAGCCCCCTTGACCCTTGGCTCATGTCGAGGAGGGAAGGGGGAGCGTGGAGGGAGGATAGGTGTTCCCCTCTCTCCAATATCGAAACCGAAAGGCCAATCCGGTCGGGAAACCGGCCGAGGTACCGCGCCCCTGACTCCCTAGATGGGAGATGGAAGGCCGCGGTAACCGGGCGCGGGGCTCTTCGTACGAGCCCTGGGGCCGGGGTGTCGAGGAGGGAATGCAGGCGCAGCTCCCCCTTCTTCGGCCCGATCGGTAGACACCCCGGTGGGATTTTAGTGAGTAGGAGTCTCACATAACCCCCGCCTGCCCAAAAGGCGGGGGTATCCATGATGGATTTCCCCACCGTTATCAAAAAAAAAACGGGATGGTCGGGGGGGATCGGGGCGTGCGTAGGAGGCTAGAGTCCAGTGCTGGGCTGCCCATCCTCTGGCTCGAAACATACGCCGGATCCCCGGGGGAAATCGAGGACCTCTCCCCCGGGGGAATCGGGCATGCCCAGCCGGCGGAGCCGTAGCAGGTGGTGGCTTTCAACCTACCATGAGCGAAACTAGCAAAATTAAGAAGGTAAGAAGGAGGCAGGGTGAAGGAGGCAGGCCTCCTTCTGCGGGGAGGTAATCTCCCGGAAGGAGGCCGCCGAGTGGAGGCGCCGGCCTGGCAAACGCCGTCGGAGAGGACGGCGGGGCCGGCGCTCCCTCGGGGGAGGGGGAGTCGGAAGCGGCCTTGAGGTGGCATCAGACGAGGAGAGGGCGGCGGCTTACACGGGTCGGCGCCTCCCTCGGCCACCTTGGGCCAGGCTCCGTCATTCAGAGGGGAGCGGGAAGAGCAACTCCCGCTCCTCTGAATGATTGGATAGGGGGGAAGAGGGAGGTGGGGAACCCGATTGGGGTCGGGCCCACCTCCCCAAAATCCCTCGCTCTCCCTTAAGGAAGAGGGGGGATAAGGAGGAAGGGTGGATGTCCCCTTTCTCCAAGGTGACACCAGAAGGCCAACCGGCGGGGATACCCGCCGGGAACCGCACCTCTCCCACTAATTCCCCGAAAGGGAAGGGGGGTGCGGTACAAGAAGGCGAAGGGCTCTTGGAATAGAGCCCTGGGGCCGGGGAGTTGGGGAGGGAATGCGGGAGCAGTTCCTCTAACTCCCCTCCTCACGGTCCGACAGGTAGACATCCCGCAGGGGTTTTAGTCGGTAAGAGTCCGACATAACCCCCGCCCCTCCCCAAGGGAGCGGGGGTATCCATGATGGATTTCCCCTGCGTGAACAAAAAAAAAAAAAAAAAGTCGTTCGAATACCACTTCGGTTATTATGCTACCCTATTACCAAAACTCGAAAATGCGAAAAACTGAAATTCACCAATTTCTCGATTTCGTAACAGGAGAATATAATGAGTGAGGAAGTCGTTCGAATATCTCTTCGGTTATTATGCTTCCCTATTACCAAAACTCGAAATTGCGGAAAACTGAAATTCTCAAATTTCTCGATTTTGTAACAGGAGAATATAATGAGTGAAGAAGTCGCTCGAATACCTCTTCGGTTATT